TGCTGGAATGAGTGATAGTTAAATAGACGTGATCAAATTTAACAACAGTTCTTTCAATTTTCAAATACATAAAAAGCAAACTTGGCAAACTTTCTTTTGCCCTCAGTTTAGGTGTATCTGGTGTATTATATCAACTCCTTTCTCTTACCACTAACTTATCAGATAATTTCACACACTCATGAGGTTGAAATTAACAATCAATCAAAATGCCTCTCATGGACACAAGTTTGGCACAGGTCTACAGGCATAATTGTGGGCTTATATTTTTGCTGGGAATGATGCAATTTGGAAGTCCTAGTTTCACAAGCTAGGAGGTAGATGGCGAATTGAGAGGTACTTATCACTGCTTCTTTCAGTCATGAAGGCACAGTGCAAATTGATTGGATATCTAGTTTTAGAGTTGTGTCCTTTGAACAAGACTCAAAATGAAGCTGTGGTGGGGAATGGGTCCTATTCTGAAAATAGAATGGAGATAATTGAGGATACACAGATTGTGAAGTCCATTCTCAAGTAATTCTTATTGTTGTTGCTTGTTCACTCACTCACTCACTCCGTGTTCTAGTGACACTTGAATGGTCCAGCACTGTGTGGAAAGTGCTGGAAGCTAGTTAGAGTAAATAAGTGGAGAGGGCGCGTGCCTGTCTCATCTCACATTTCATTTGACATAACATCAAGAACAGCTTTCATGTGTTGATCACTTATCACCCTGGATTCCAAGCCTAGTTAATTGTGTAAAACATTTGTGGATTGTATATCATTTGTTGGATGTTTGTTGGTTTCACACTAAGTTCTGTTACCTACAGATTTCTGAGGTAACATATAGTTTCAATTTGGGAATCGGCATGTAACAATTCTATAACACTGAATGTTTGTTGGGGGCATTTATATATGATTGGATGTCTCTAAAGAAGCTGAGTGAGTGAGTGCACACCCGCTGTAACTGTTCATGACAGTAGACATTTATCTTTGAAAGATGAGCCATCAGGGTATGTTGTTATTGGGGCATAGGTATTATCTCCAAGTCCCTGCTCAGCTCAAAGACACAACTCCTTAGATAATAATAATAAGTTCATCTATACTGCACCAGATTCCATTCACCAAGTTAATGCTCATGGCGCTACATAGTTTTAGCAAATAATGCGGATGAAAGGTGAGTAGAGGTAGATTGGATAGTGTTGTCAGAAAAGGTATGTTTTCAGATGAGCCTTAAAGGATGCAAGCGATGGCTACATCTTAAGATCAGTGGGTAGTTTGTTCCATAGCGAGGACACGCAGATCTGGAAAGATCTCTGACCAAAGGTTATGAGATGGGGTTCCGGGACTTGTAACAGATGGTTAATCTGCAAACGGAGAGATCTGAAGGCTTGTATTTAGACAGTTGTTCGGTAAGATATAATGGGGCTGTTTCCATGTAGCATTTGTAGGCCAAGACTAGAAATTTGAATTTAATTCTGTCTTTGAGTGGTAACCAGTACAGCGACATCAGAGCAGGTGTTACTGGAGTCCATTTTGATGTCTTCATGACGATACATACTGCTGTTTTTTGTACACGTTTGAGCCTGTGGAGTTGTTCATTTGTGGTGTAACTCATGAGACTATTGCAATAGTCAAGCCGTGATATAACTAAAGATCTAGCCAAAGTGTGTGCAGCTTCTTTTGTGAGTAGATGTCGAACCCTTCCAATGTTGAGGAGATGAAAGAAGCATGACTTTGAGACATGGCTTACATGTTGTTCCATAGTTTGTACACTGTCCAGAAAAACGCCAAGATTTTTCATTGATTTTGAGAATGCGACATGGGAATAACCTTCTTGTATTGTGTTTAACTCCCACTTTCTCAATTTTTGTTCTGATACCAATCAATAAAGTCTCTGTCTTGTTGTTTAATTTTAGTTTGTTTTCAGTCATCCACGGCTTCATGGCTCTGATGCAATCTTCAAATTTTTGAAGCTCTGTTTCAGTTTCAGATGGCATGAAAGTCTTCATCAGTTGCTTATCATTGGCATAGCAATGATAGTTCAGTAGTTGCTTAGAGATGATATGACCCAAAGTTTTAGTGTACAGTGTGAAAAGAATGGGGCCCAGAACTGACCCTTGGGGAACCCCACAAGAGAGAACAAAACTATCTGATGTTACCTCATTGACAGTGACTGACTGATGCCGTCCATCTAAGTATGATATAAACCATTTGAGAGCATTTCCTTCTCGTCCTATCTGATGGTGTAAACAATCCTTGCACCACTGACTTACTCTGTTGGATCCTGTCTATTGGGGTCTTGTAAACCGATGAGTGGACCTCTTTGAAAATACTTTGGATTCTATGCTGTTTCTGGTAACTTCTAATTAGCATGTGTTTATGTAGTGCCCCAAGTCATTCATGTGTCACATAACCTCACAGCAGTGACATGTCTTAGTTACATTGAGCGAAATGTTACAAATTTGTTCATTATTCACTGCAGTAGAGTGCATGTTTACGTGAGGCCTGCATTCAGTTAGTAAGAAAGGATCTGTAAGGTAAGGACATAGGTGTGCACAAGCTGAGAAAGCTACATTCTGTAATTATGCATAGTATTGTGATACTATTGAGTTTTCGAATTTCTTTATGTATAAATGTATGCAACTAAAGGCAAGCGTTAAAATTTAATTAGGTTCGGGTGATTTAGTTGGCATAGTTTATATAAATACATAGCTTTTCTGGAGTGCTGATAAATTAAGATGGTTGTGGAGCTATTAAAGGTTGTCATCAAGGGGGACACTTTTTACCCTCAAAAGAGTGTAGAAAACTATGGCAAACTGAAGTTCATGTAAGAAGTAGCACAGGTCACAAAACAGGTGAAGTTAAGCAACTTAAGTCACAGATAGTCCTTGGATGAGTGACCGCATTTGGGGCTGAGTGTTTCTGAGCGTTTCCAGGGCTTTGGTCCTTCCCCACACTGAAGCACATGTAGCACATGTGGCGTCTCCTTGGGCAAATGACTTGAAATGAGTCTCAGTTCACCCAGCAGTGAAGGGGTACCCGGTAGGCAATGGCAATGTGGTTGTTAACCTTTTAGCGCCTAACAGGCAGCTTGGGTTATATACTCCCCAAGGAGCTGAGAATGATTCTTGAGTGCACATTGATCATGTGACAGAGTCAATCCCACCCAGAACTTTTCGGAGAATGTGAAGACACCCCAACACTGCATCCTTCTGCATTACCCAGGTTGTCAGAAGGGCTGTATTCCTGGTAGAAAACCCAGGTACTCTCCCAATATCAGTCAACAGATTGGGAGGCACCAAACCTGAGGCACCGAGAACAATTTGGAGTCGGACAACTTGGTACTTGGGATGCAAGCATGACATTTTGAAAGCGAGGTCTGCATATTATGCCATGTTTTTCCTCATTCTTGTCAATCACAGAAGTGTCAAAAGGGACAGAAAATTCAATAGTATAAATGATTTAATTGGATTTATCAAAAAGGACAAGCTTAGGTTTGTTGGCCTGGATATAATGTCTGATGCTGTATACAGGCCTATTCCAAAGGATTTTGTATTTATCATTTTCCATGACGCCCTATATAATCTACATTTCATATTATTACTATTATTATTATTATTATTGACTGCTAAATTTAGTCTTTTTTTTGGAACACAGTGGTCCATACATTAGTTGAACACAAAACCAGCCTGATGTCCACCATTGCATATATCTGTTTGATGGCATTACAATCCACAGGGACCGACTCCATATATCTTGACAACCAAATATCCTTTTTGGCATGAAGAGTTACACCCATGGGTATTCTGTGTTACAATTGGTCCCCACCAACAACCTATGCTGGCCATACGAGGCAACTGTAATATACCGCTGAGTGCTGTGTTAAACAAGAAACACACAGACACAGACACACACAGACACACACACACACACACACACACACACAGACACACACACACACGTTTTACTCTGTTAATGTGAGTACATGAGCATGCACACACACGTGCACACCCACATGCGAATAAAGGACACTCTCATTTTTCACACTGAATTCATGCTTGCATCAAACTCATGATTTACAGTATTTATAAATCCAGGGTGTCCCTCAGCTATTTGTTGCCAGTTAGATGATGCAGTGACTTCTGGGTAGAATCCTCCTTCTACTAACTATAGCACATGTAATGAGAGACTTGTCTTGGGCATTATCTTTCTGTCAGATCCAAGCCATGATGAAGACAAGTTGGATCGCTTGAGCGATGGATACACTAACTGAAGTTCACGCTAATGAGGTTTCAGTGAAGGTGGGTTGGTGACAACATGAGGAGAATGGAATGTTGAGGCTCTCTGCTGTACCTTGGTGCTATGTTGTGTGTCATTACACACCAAAGTAAAGGTCAGTACTTGAAGCCATCAATGGTCATCTATTGTTCCCATGGGGATTCCACCCATTGCAGAAAAGGTTCATAATACCTTGTGAATGTTATATGAGCCCATTGAAATGGAGATCAATGGGTTACTTGGCTGACTGTGTGTGATTCACCCAATGACCTGCCCACTGACTTGCCCTTTGACTCACCCACCGACTTGCACATTGATTCACCCACTGACTTGCCCGTTGATTCACCCGTTGATTAACCTACTGACTTGCCAACTGACTTGCACATTGATTCACCCACTGACCTACCCACTGACTCACTCACTGATTCGCCCACTGACCTGCCCACTGACTCACCTACTGATTTGCCCGTTAATTCACCCACTGACCTGCCCACTGACTCAGCTACTGACTTGCCCATTGATTCACCCTTTGACCTACCCACTGACTCACTCACTGATTCACTCACTGACCTGCCTACTGATTTGCCCGTTAATTCACCCACTGCCCTGCCCACTGACTCAGCTACTGATTCACCCACTGACCTGCCCACTGACTCACCTACCGACTTGACCAATGATTCACCCATTGACCTACCCACTGACTCACTCACTGATTCACCCACTGACCTGCCTACTGATTTGCCTATTCATTCACCCACTGACTTGCCCATTGATTCACCCACGGACCTGCCCACTGACTCAGCTACTGATTCACCCACAGATTCACCCACTGACTTGCACATTGACTCACCTACTGATTCACCCATTGACTCACCTACTGATTCACCCGTTGATTCACCCATTGACCTGCCTACTGACTTGCCCATTGACTCACCTGCTGACTTGCCCATTGATTCACCCACTGACATACCCATTGATTCACCCACTGACCTGCCCATTGACTCACCTACTGATTCACCCACAGATTCACCCACTGACTCATCCACTGACCTGCCCACTGACCTGCCCACTGACCTGCCCACTGACTTGCCCACTGACCTGCCCACTGACTTGCCCACTGACCTGCCCAGTGACCTGCCCACTGACTTGCCCACTGATTCACCCACTGACCTGCCCACTGACTTGCCCACTGACTTGCCCACTGACCTGCCCACTGACTTGCCCACTGACCTGCCTACTGACTTGCCCACTGACCTGCCCACTGACTTGCCCACTGACTTGCCCACTGACCTGCCTACTGACTTGCCCACTGACCTGCCCACTGACCTGCCCACTGACTTGCCCACTGACCTGCCTACTGACTTGCCCACTGACTTGCCCACTGACTTGCCCACTGACTTGCCCACTGACCTGCCCACTGACTTGCCCACTGACCTGCCCACTGATTCACCCACTGACCTGCCTACTGACTTGCCCACTGACTCACTGACTTGCCCACTGACCTGCCCACTGACTTGCCCACTGACCTGCCCACTGATTCACCCACTAACCTGCCCACTGACTTGCCCACTGACTTGCCCACTGACCTGCCCACTGATTCACCCACTGACCTGCCCACTGACTCTCCCACTGACCTGCCCACTGACCAGGCCACTGACCTGCCCACTGACTTGCCCACTGACCAGCCCACTGACTTGCCCACTGACCTGCCCACTGATTCACCCACTGACCTGCCCACTGACTTGCCCACTGACTTGCCCACTGACCTGCCCACTGACTTGCCCACTGACCTGCCCACTGACTCTCCCACTGACCTGCCCACTGACCAGGCCACTGACCTGCCCACTGACTTGCCCACTGACCAGCCCACTGACTTGCCCACTGACCTGCCCACTGATTCACCCACTGACCTGCCCACTGACTTGCCCACTGACCTGCCCACTGATTCACCCACTAACCTGCCCATTGATTCACCCACTGACCTGCCCACTGACTTGCCTACTGACTTGACCAATGACTTGCCCACTGACTTGCCCACTGACCAGCCCACTGACTTGCCCACTGACCTGCCCACTGATTCACCCACTAACCTGCCCACTGACTTGCCCACTGACTTGCCCACTGACCTGCCCACTGATTCACCCACTGACCTGCCCACTGACTCTCCCACTGACCTGCCCACTGACCAGGCCACTGACCTGCCCACTGACTTGCCCACTGACCAGCCCACTGACTTGCCCACTGACCTGCCCACTGATTCACCCACTGACCTGCCCACTGACTTGCCCACTGACCTGCCCACTGATTCACCCACTAACCTGCCCATTGATTCACCCACTGACCTGCCCACTGACTTGCCTACTGACTTGACCAATGACTTGCCCACTGACTTGCCCACTGACCAGCCCACTGACTTGCCCACTGACCTGCCCACTGATTCACCCACTGACCTGCCCACTGATTCACCCACTAACCTGCCCACTGACCTGCCTACTGACTAGCCCATTGATTCACCCACTGACCTGCCCACTGATTCACCCACTAACCTGCCCACTGACCTGCCTACTGACTAGCCCATTGATTCACCCACTGACCTGCCCACTGACTCACCCACTGACCTGTCCACTGATTCACCCACTGATTCACCCACTGACCTGCCCACTGACTTGCCCACTGACCTGCACACTGACTCACCCACTGACCTGCCCATTGATTCACCCACTGACCTGCCCACTGACTTGCCCATTGACTCACCTAATGATTCACCCATTGACTCACCTACTGACCTGCCCACTGACTTGCCCACTGACCTGCACACTGACTTGCCCACTGACCTGCCCACTGATTCACCCACTGATTCACCCACTGACCTGCCCACTGACTTGCCCACTGACCTGCACACTGACTCACCCACTGACCTGCCCATTGATTCACCCACTGACCTGCCCACTGACTTGCCCACTGACCTGCCCACTGACTTGCCCATTGAGTCACCTAATGATTCACCCATTGACTAACCCACTGACCTGCCCATTGATTCTCCCACTTACCTGCACACTGATTTGCCCATTGACCTGCCCATTGACTCACCTACTGATTCACCCACTGACACACCCACTGACCTGCCTACTGACTATCCCATTGATTCACCCACTGACCTGCCCACTGACTCACCCACTGACCTGCCTACTGATCTGCCTACTGACCTGCCTACTGACCTGCCCACTGACTCACCCACTGACCTGCCCGTTGATTCACCCACCTACCTGCCCACTGACTCACCTACTGATTCACACATTGATTCCTCCACTCATTCACCCATTTACTCATGATACACTCATGCGCTGACTCACTGACGCAACCAATTACTCATTGGTTCACCCAGTGCTTCCGACCACACTTACGCCTACCCACATTCGTCCAATCAGTCAGTGACAAATTCCCCTAATACCTCTTCTCAATTGTCATTTTCTGAAATTCATTTTCTGAAATTCAGGAATTCACATTATGTTGTTAAAGATAGAGATGTTCAGTCTTCAAAGTATAAATATATTGTCAAACTTGGCAGAATTTTTTTATTTGAAATTTGAGAATGTTATGTCACCCTGATCCACCCGTTATGCCCTTGAGTTGTTTGTGAGGCCATATTGTGGACAATATGAAACACAAGCAGCTTCATTTGCCACATGAAATGCCTTACAACATCCCATCTTCTGGATTTGGAAGCACTTAACAGTTTTCGTCACGCAGTGCCTTCAAATGGTGTCAACGAAATTGATTTTATACTTCACCTTTTTGAGTGTTAAAATTAGATTGGTTTCATCTTTATATTTGCCTTAAATATCCATACCAGTAAATAAGGTTGTTATAAAAAGAATTATGATGATTCCTCTATTTTTAATCAATCAGGAGGAATGCTGTTTGCAAATAATGGTTTCATGGCATGTTGGTATTGTCAATTCTTTCAGAAAATCCTAGCTTGATTTTTGAATGTCTTTATTACATGAATGAATGCATCTTAGCAAATAAGAACTTTGTATCTTTAGTTTCCAAAGGCTGGAAGCTGCTAGTTCAAATCTATATTGCTAGTTGCTAGATTGGTAACAGTCATTTACATCCTAGAAAATCATGTCCTGGTTGTATGTCCTCAAACAGGGAGACAATTGTGGTGTAAGAGTTGCCTCCCTTTGTTGCCATGCAGGATCCACTTGTCATGAGTTCAAATCCTATCTTGATAATGACAGTATGTCAATTTATTAATTATCAAACCATCCTACACAGTATACAAACAACAGTGCCTCTATCAATTTTATTAAATTCTCTTCCTATCTTAACCAACCATTACAAATTGTATTTAAACAGTTGAATAACTGATACCAGTATGGATGGGGATATTTTGTAGGATGACCTTTGGTGATTATAAGCAGTCATATATGTCATAGCCAATCCGGATTAAACATATGTTGGAAATTAAATGGACACATTTGCAATTGTGCAGTATAAGCTGTGTGAGTGAGTGAGTGAGTGAGTGAGTGAGTGAGTGAGTTTGGTTTTACGCCGCTTTTTGCAATATTCCAGCAATATCACGGCGGGGGACACCAGAAATGGGCTTCACACATTGTACCCATGTCGGGATTCGAACCCGGGTCTTCGGCGTGACGAGCGAACGCTTTAACCACTAGGCTACCCGACCGCCCCAGCTGTGAGGTGTTTGAGGTGAAATGGGGTTTAACTTCATTTTCAAGATTATTGCACTGATAAAGCGATGTGAAAGCACATTAATGTGTACGTTTTCGTGGCTGCTTGTATTAAGGAAGGAAGAATAAATTCTATTACAAATACAGTAAAATATGTTTATAACAAACTCGCTTATAACGAACTGACAGATATCCCGAACTTAATTTTCTGTCCTGTCCATTTGCTATATAGATGTTGTATATATGCTTAACAATGGTTATAATGAACAAAAATTAGTGGTCCATTTAAGTTTGTTATAACCGTAGTTTACTGTAACCATAAGCAACTGAGCAGAAACAATAAAAAATGTAGAAATAGCTAAAAACTACCGTATATATATATCCAATCAAACTTCGTTTATAAGAATATCTTACATTAAGTTGAGATATGTACAACATTAACCTTTAATGTAAAAAAAATATAATTTTACATTAAGAGTTCACACGTAAGCCTTAATGTAAATTGTTTTACATTAAGAGTAATTAGGGTTGTAACATACCCCACTCAGACACAGTATACTGACTCCAAGCTGACTAATCCTTGTTTCATCACCTTTATGCCAAGCACCAGACAGGGTAACAATAAGTACCATCTTTTAACTTCTCTTGCTATGACGCGGCTGGGGACTCAACCACGGACCTTCCGCTCTCCTGGCAGACACTCTATCCACGGGACCATGACCATGGTGTTAATAAACTGTGATTCCTAGAATTCATGATTTTAATTACATAGAATGCCCATCCATCTAGTTTTTTCTTTCCAAACACAAACCAAAAAACTGACAAACTGGTTTTGTTTAGTTTTTATGTAAAGGATCAACATTATGAACCCTTATATTTATATTAATTCTTAGGACAATTATTCTCAAAACATAAACATCATATCCAAATGGATGTTTTAAGAGAACACTAAATGTATCAAGATGCCCGATTATACTCAGGAGAAATAAGGATGGTTTAGTGAGCTTGAGACGATGCTGAATGTAATTTCTCACAAGCATTACCATTCGTTCAAATTTGCAATTGATCTTTCCAGGGTATTTTTTGAAAAATTGATTTAAACCCTATTAAATTCTGTTATTTGAATGGCATGGTAGGTGTCCATGAATAAGTTCATTTAAATATAATTATTGATGTCTGGTAATGGAGGCTTATGGATAAGGCCATGGAATCCCTTTGGATGTGTTCTGCCTCATATGATGTCACTTCGTTGCGGCCTTGGAAAATTTATTAATTCTGATATTGGCAGATGTGACGAATTAAGACATTCTAACATTCTGTAATGAAATTTAATTTGAAGCTTGTCATATGATAATAATATTATAGAAAAATTCCATACACAGAGCAGTCAGAGATAGCCTGTTTGCTGATAAATGTTAACAGATGTTGTACCTGGAGGGCAAGTGGAATTTCCCAGGGGTGGAGAATGAGGGGGTGTTTTACTGGGTCATGTTAACATTGTATAAACAGGATGATGTGCGTAAGTGTGATGTGCATATAACAGTATTTCAGTTATAATATCACTGTCTGTACCCTATACCTGCATTAGATATAAGCCTCTATAAAACGTCACATCAGCATGGTCTGTGGAAGTAAAAACAAGTTTTGAAAATGGAAACTGGCAAAAAGTATTTTTTGTTGCAGATTGAGAAGTAATGATAATATATAATTACATGTTTCATGATTAGCAATTAGTCCTCATTTTTGAGCAACCCATTAAGATCTTGGTTAGAATTGGTCTTCAACAGCCCATGTTTGTCATGAGAGGCGAATAAGATGTGGTCAGGTATTCCAATTGCCTGGATTGCTCATGATGTAAATCACTGGATTGTCTGTTCCAGATTCAGTTATTTACAGACCGAGTTCAAATAACTAGAATATTGTTGAGTGCAGCATTAAACAACAAACAAACAAACAAATCTTTATTCATGCAGAAAGTATGTGGACATCGTTTGTTAACACCCAGGTGAGCTTCACATGCTCTGGCACCATTTCTTTAACCTTCTAAGGAACACAGTTTTCCTTTTTACTTTTAAAAAAGCTCTACTTGTACAAATTGCACTCCTTTTTAAAGATATTCATTTTTCGTAAGTGTCAACTCCATAACAGCAAATCATATCTTGTTTTAGAATGATCACAGTCTGTGTAAGAGGCAAAATAGCTTTGAAAAGTATATGAATTAATCGCTGAAAATCAATGATGACGCCCGTTGTGGCCAAAAAGGGTAAACATGTTGTTGGATTTTTGATTAATTCTTTTGGTTAATTTTATATTTAGCTGCCTTCGTTTAAGTTGTAAAGGGAGGTAACTCTTATTTCTTGTTAGTATCGCTGTGTGCAAGAGACTGCTGTGAGCAGGGCAGTGTGGAGGTTATATAATGGTAATTATTCAATTAATTTTAAAAGTTCAGTAACAGTGAAGTAAGACATATAACTAACGATTAAAGCAGGTAAGAGAAACTTCCCACTTTATCACCACGTAAAGTATGGTGCTCGGCTGTTGTAGCGGGATGTGGAATCATTTTAGAGATGACATCCTTACTTTGTCAGCTTGCTGATGGGGTTAACCTGCTTTGTCATGTTGATGGGCA